CACAATATGAGTCAGCAGTACACCTCTGTTCACATTTTTAGATGACTTCATGATTGCCCATAAGCCTTCGTTTCCTCCGCACATGATCTTTCCACCGTGTTAACTTTGGACGCCTAACTACTCGTCGTTCCCCATTGCAATTTTACTCGGTTACCTTATATATATATGGTATCACACTCAATAGCCTCCTCTTTGGAGTGTATATCCAATTCATCTTCATTTGTAGAGTGACAGGTTCTTGGCTGGTCCGTCGCCAGAGTTCTTTGTCACTTTTATCCTTTCTGGTCATCTGGTCTTTGGCATGGAGCGGAAACGGCAGTTTTTGATGACAGTTTTCATCAGGCTGTCACAAAAGTAAAAGTTTTTAGTGATGCTTGCGCGAAATCTCTGAAGAAGCATACAGAAGCAGTGAATTGACATCAGATCACGTCAAACTAAATTAGCTGATTTAAATATTGCTCAATACTACAACATACGTAGGACGAAACAGCTGTCCAGTACTCCAAGGTTTTCCAATGGTACTCTAACTAATGTCAGCTCATGATGAAATCCTGTATACGTAGGATTAAATGACAAGACTAAGACAAGTTGACTACAAATTTCAAAAGCACAAACAACAATAAGCTGCTATCATAATGCAGTTAGTAATTTAAAATATCTCTCAGATTTTACAAACTCGGACTGATGACACCAGAAATAAAGTGACGCTCATTCCAGCCGCTCCGTACAAACAAGGAATGACACACATCTAACCTGTTATTGCAGATAACTTGAACCGCTATAGCAGCACTAACTATAAACAGTCAATAGATAACTAAAACATTGGTACTATACTATACCAGATTAAAAGTAGTAATCAGATCAGAGTTAACAAGGTCATATAAAATTAATCTTTGTGCTATGAAAGTTAAGCGGTTAAGGATTTAACACGAAACATTTAGGATTAACTCAAAAATGAACACTGTGCGAAAGAAACAAAACTCAATATAACAAGAACTAAACTTGCATACTGATCACAAATTATGCTTACTGGAGATTTCAATGAGACAATACTATAAGGATGGTGATGGTAGCTGTTGGTCCTTCTGTATAGTTAGTTACTTACTTTGTTTTGAATCATATTATTGACGACTTTAGTGTACTGTCACTATTATTAATATTATTTATTTGAGTTCTGAGTGGAATGTAGGACTAATAAACTACGTAACAATGTATTGAGTTCAACTCAAATCACAGGAACAAGAGACAAGCAAAATTACACTATATCAATGGGGGGGGGTGATGTTAAAGCCAAAGATTACGTAATCGAAGAGAGAATAAAGACATCCAGTTACCAGGGCAAGGAAACACTGATAACTGCTTGGCAATTAGTAGTGTTCTCTGAGCTGGTTGGTTTAGTTGCGGAGCTTCCTTCTGAACACATAGGCGTTTGATGGAGATTGCTGCGGCAAACTTGAGGAGAATTGAGCTTTCCTGCCTATTGGTAATTTTAAAGGATTTTGCCATTTTCACCTCATGACCGTATATTAAGGAGATGCCTGGTAATGGCACTATTGTAAACGTTTGTTCCCTTGAAACGTAGGCTTTTCGGTACATGTTCAGGAAATCGGAGATGTGCCTTTCTTTCTGTCATCCGAATGTAACTGCCCCACAGATACACGTAAATTGATATACACAGTTGGAGTTAACATGAGAAGAGTATCTGTCGACTTTTGACTGCACCAAGGAGCATGTTGTCTGACAGACGGGAACCAACTTAGCTAGCTGCGGGATAGGCTCCGGCTAGTGACTTCCTTAATCATTTATTGACTATTGCTGCAATATTTTCACCTTTAAAATCAAGTTGAAGGAAGACAGGCGTTTTTTCCCACTGTGATTTGTTTGATATTTGAGCCTTCACATCATCCATATTTGTTTGTGAATCTCTGAGGGTTTTTCAACATCTTTTAGAGGATCATAAATTCCTTGTAATCCTCGAATCTTCCACTGAATCCTCAATTATTCCCATGTTATACTGCTGTTTCTTCCTTACACTTCTGCTCATTATAGCTTTTTTCAATTTATATTTCACCCCTCTTGTCTACCTCTTTGTGTGCTACATGGATTTTGGCAACTTGAACTGATACACTTCTGTGAAAAATTCTATGTTGAAACTCTGTTAGGCAAGCATCATCATACTTGACCAGCTTAAACTACTATACATTGCTCTCTCTCTTTATTTTCATTAATTTCCTGATAAATTTCATGTCTTTAGCCTTAGCTTTATTTAATATGGGTGTGACTACAGCTTAAATTTTGTGTGACATGGAAAGCTTGAAACACCTGTCGTGAGAAATGAGTTCCATTGTAACAATAGTTACAACACAGATTTAACAGCTGCACTAACCCAGTTTTCTAAAAAAAAACGAATATTTCAATAACAAAATAGAGAATGAATTAACCAGACGTTTGAAGAAACTAAGGGAGGAGCAGATATTCTCAGAAAGTTTATATAAAGAAATCAGACCAACGGGCTCGTATACGCCAAGATTGTACGGCCAACCTAAAGTGCATAAACCAGGGGTACCGTTAAGACCAATACCTGATATGTAAAATTCGCCCTACCATGCTCTAGCTATATGGTTAGTAAATATTCTCAAACCACTGCATGAGAAGACAGTGAAATATAGCGTCAAAGATATATTTGAATTCGTAGACAGAATAAAAGATATTAATATCAAGGACAAAACCATGATATCTCTGGACATAACATCGTTATTCACAAATGTACCTTTAATAGAAACATTTAACTACATATGTGAACAAGTTGATAACCAGTCGATAAACATTGGCATCCGTACTGAAATCCTAAAAGAATTGTTATTAAGATGTACCATGAATGTAAACTTCAAATTTGATGGCACGCTTTACAGACAAGTGGACGGGGTGGCGATGGGCTCCCCTTCGGGTCCCATTCTGGCTGATTTCCTTCTAAGTAAGCTAGAAAATGGACCTTTGAACAGCCTTATCAGTAAGTTCTCATTTTATTGCCGATACATGGATGATACCTTCATTCTTTGTGATAATGGTTCTGATAGGAGTACAATAATTACTAAATTCAATGAAGTACATTCGGCTATGAAGTTCGCATGCGAAGAGGAATTCCAAGACAGAATCGCCTTCCTGGATGTCCTACTTACAAGAAAAGAAATTTGCATAGAAAAAGTACTTGAACATTTTCACAGCTTCGTTCCTATCAATTACAAAAGAAATTTAGTGAAGACCCTCAGCCACAGAGTTAGAGCTATATGCTCAGAAGAAGTACCTGAAGATGAATTAAGCATTGTATATGATACTTTGATCGAAAATAGCTATCCCGAAAAATTTATCAAGAAACACATGACAAAGAAAGCAGAAAAGGACTACTCACTGTCTGTAAACAAGAAGCCTTTATATATACGACTACAATTCATGGGCGATATACCAAGTGAGATAATTACGAGGAAATTAAGGAAATCAGTTCAAAGAACTTTTAATGCTGGCGAACTACACGTATTATTCTCTACACGACCGATAATGCTACCTCGACTGAAAGATGAAGTACCTAGATTAGCCACTTCAAATTGTATCTACCCATTCAACTGCGCTTGTGGAGCAAGTTATATTGGCCGTTGCTCCAGGAACTTGATTTTTCGTGCTCGAGAACATCTCCTACTATGGCTAAGTAAAGGTGTAGTGAAAACTATTAACAGCTCGATATTAGACCATCTGGTGCAAACCAGCCACAAAGCAAGCGTGGAAGAATCCTTCTCTATAATATACCGGGTGCCTAATAAATTGCCAAAAACATGGAAGCACCGCATGCTCCAAACAGCAGAGGCTATTGCAACTCGCCTCAAACAACCAGCGCTCGGTGTTCAAAAGAAGCAAGTCCAGCCCCTACTACTGCCCTGGCCTTCAGTAGAGACTATAAATTCATGAATCTGTAATATTATCTTTGCTGATTTTTCTGACATTCAGCTCATTTTATTTTGATGCTATTGAGCTGTAATCTATCAATATTATTGATTCGATGTTATTAAAAACATTAATGTTGTTCATAACACTAATTCATTCATTCACTATAATGTATATATAACTGTAGAGCCTGATGATGAAGTTATCGGAAAGGATACTCTTTGTTCAGTATCCATTCTTTTTTTTTAAAAAAGGATCAGAGTACGAACACTATGCGACAGTTAGCTTTGTCATCTTCTATGGCTGTGGAATATGGCAATCGAAAATGGAGAGAATATGAAAAGTCAAGCTCTCTTTGACCATAAATGTTTGCGTTCTACCTCCCATGTTAAGTAATGTAATTTGGTGAGTAATACTGAGGTGAGGCATAGAGTTTTGGGTAAGAAGGGCAAGTCAATCCATGAGATTGTGGGGCTACACCGATTGAGATGACTAGCAAACGTGTTGCGTGTGACGAGTTATTGCCTTTTTCGGAGTGCAATGTTAACCGACATTGGATAATGTTGGAAAAGGGTTAGGAGGATTAAACCAAATGCCTGGCATCGGTCTATGAAGACTTTGACAGCTGGCTTGAGCCATGTAGCGGTGTAAACTGTCTGCTTGATAGGGACACTCTGGATATACTAAGAACCAATGGTAAGAGATTATTGGTGATGTAACACGAAATCGTTCTCATATAGTGCGGATGCATTCATTCTGTGTAATCTCCCAGACACACTAATTTCCACGTCACCATTCTTTCTATCTCTCATTCTGAATCTCTTTTGCTCTCTCTCTCTCTCTCTACGCCTTTGGGTGCTAACATAGAATGTGACAACTTGAGCTGCTACACTTCTGTGCGAATTTATATGTTAAAACTCAGTCAGTCCGTAGGACCAGATATATAAAACAGTTAAAGTTAAACTACTAAATGAATAATAATTATTTAGGGTATTTCTTTATAAGAAAATAAAAGGGTGGAAATTGAAAACAAAAATTATAAGACAGAAAGTAATACAACTTACACTTTTCTCAGTGATTAAGATCAACACGTCATTCCCATTACACTGACCGATTCTCCACTTGTTATGTATACCTTCTGCATATCTTATCAATGAAATAGTTTCACTATGTGGAGATAGATATCAGAGGGAGGGGGCAGGTTGTAAAAAAAGCAAAAACCAAAACAGAAACATTAAAAAGCGAAAATGTGTACAGTCTAAGATTGACAAACGAACATGAATGTCAAATCTTAGAGCGTTTTTAATTCATAAGCATAATTTATCCATATGACAAGAGTTTACAAGCAAACAAAGTCACCGATATTCAAGTATTGGTTTGTAGGGATTTGATTGATGAGTTACAGGGTTTCATCATGAGCTGATATCGGTTCGAGAACCATTGGGAAACCTGTCAGGGAGTAGTGGACAGCTGTTTCGTCCTAGTTTGGAACTCTTCATCGGTACATCATTTCCAGTACAAGTACTGATCGTTAACTGAATGAGGTAGTTCGCTACTCAATCTCAATTTGAACACATCAGTCTGCCAAGTGTAAGCAAGGTTTAAAGACTACTTCCAATTAAACAGGTCTCGAAGAAGCAGCAGCCAACTCCTGAGGTGTTGAAAGATGTTGATGATAACTGATTGACAAGACTCAATAATAAGGATACATGTAAACTGAAATAAACACTGCTAGGCATTTGCACAATGCACTTCTACTCAGGCTCACACATTATATAGGTAGACAGCCATAATACGCATGCGTTACACGCGATCTACAAAAGCTAGTTGTTGCTGGCTACTGATATTCCCCGCCTATTTAACACTTTAAAAGTCATTAGAGCTCTGTTAAATGCTTACAAGTTAAAAAAGAAAGTAAGAAATAACGAAACAAATACATCGTGTTGATTTTCTTTTAAGAATAAAAACCACAGAATACAGTAAAAATGGAAACACTGATTGTAGACGTTAAGAGTAGAAACCTGGTCAACCGAAAATCTAGGACCTTTTGTCCACTCCAGCATGGAGTTAAACATCCCAACCAGTAGCCATAATTGCATAACGGTTGCAAACTCTATAGTCTTCTGCCAACGACTCTCCACATATTTGAATACGCTACTATATATATATATATATATGTTCATAATGACATATATATGTATATCATTATGAACATAAGAATTTACTTGAATTAGGTTTTTTCAATAGAAGTATGTAAATATGGTTTGTGAAATATGCATTGGTAAAGTCATGAAGCACAACTGTAACGTGTGCTACTGATAAGATTTACCAGTAGTATATAAAGAGACATCCATCAGCATGAAAATATCAAACAGCAGGGAGATAGATTTGATGTCAAAGAGAGCAAATGATTCAGCGTTGAGACAAAACATGGGAGACACGAAAAGTAGACAAAGAAACACAATGCGAAGGATAGAAGTACATATATATATATATATATATATATATATATATATATATAGTGTTGCATTTCATCATTTCATCTTAGCAATGCCATAATTTCCTTATCTTCGGTATCAAAGTTTGATGGTAATTTGACGAAGAGATTTAGCTATTAGAATCACCCTTCTGACTGACTGACTTTCAACACAGAACATCCCACAGAAGTACAACAGATCACAGTGTCACCATTCATGTAGCACACATAAGTAATGAAAAAAAGCTCAAAAGAACTATAACTAATAGAAATGTACAGGAGAAAGAACAGTAACTGGGAAAAACCTCAGGATTTGATGGGTCTGGGAAATTACAAACAATGAATGCATCTGAGCCGTTGACAAGGATTTCGAGCCAAATCACCAATAGTCTCAAAACACAGGGTTTTAGCATCTTGTTGTCCCCATCCAGACAGTCTATACTTCCTTACATGGCTCACAGATTTCATGAACTGACACGTTTTGATTTGGTCACTCCTAACTCTTGAACAACCTAATCTTTTGTCAGAAAATATTAGTCGTCGAGGATGGCAGTCGCTCGGCATGCAGAAGACGTGTTCAAGCCATCTTAATTCGTGTAGCTTCACAACTTTATTGATTCTTTTTACCTCATTAGCTAACACTTTACGCCTAACATCAATATTGCTCACAATATTTTGCCATTTAACATGGGAGAGAACGCAAAAATCTGTGGTCAAAAGGAGGTAGCATTTTGATATCTCCCACTCTCGACGACATCGTCCAACAGCGAATTGATGCGCAGTACACCCCCGTCCTCTCATCAATAGTAGGATATCACGTCTACACGAAAGTGAAGTAAGCTGGAGAATGGCAAACACGCCTTTTGTATCGCTGGTGATATTTCGTTAACAATCAGTCTTTTTAGGGCTGATGCAGCTTCCCAAATATGTGAAGTGGTCAACATGCTCAACCATTCCATTCCCTGCCTTTAAGCTAGGAGTCGGTGCAGACCAGTCTTGCAACACCATCTGACATGTGACAGAAGCGAATAGTATGCCAAACACTCGAAAATTTCCGTTCAAGATACTCATAAGATTCTGCATTTTGTCAGAGTCTTCACATGTGAGGACAATATCATCTGCTTAGCATACATTACAAAAACTTTTCCCTGACAAGAAGTCAATCCCTAAGTCGCTAAACTCAGTCAATTCTATTGGTACACCTATGATGAAGTTAAACAAAAATGGGACAGTATGCCTCCCTGACAGAGACCACTGGTTGTCATCACTTCAGATGGCAACTCTCTGTAAGGTCTTCCACGACTGCATGAATTCGAGTAGAGTGGCTTGATTAGTGCGATGTGCACTCCCGTCACGGCTAAAAATCGCCACAGCACCTCTCGATCGACGGAGGTGCATCTTCGTCCATGTAACTCCAGTGTTGTTCAAGTATGCAGCTCTAGAAATAAGTTTTTCCTGTGAATCAGTACATGCGCAGCAATAGTTGAGCTTCTTCTCATTTCATTGTGGTCAATTATTCTATACTTAGTTAGGCAATTTAGCTTCGCTAATTTAACTGACAACCCTCCAACCAGCAACAGATCTAACCATATAATCGTCGATAGGTATTCGACAGATCATAACATTCTGTCTATTCAGGTCAACAGAATTCTAGTGACTGAGGTCATGGGTTGGAATGTTACCGGAATTTCCCCAGTAATAAGAATGTTAAGTAAGGTCCTAATATTTGTCCTTTATATATTAACAGTATAGAAGGCTCTGAAACTGAATTTTCCACGTAGAACTTTGCACAGAGGTGAGATAGTTTAAGTTGCCACAAATAAAACAAACGCTAAGAAACTGTAATGAACAGAAATGCAAGGGGGAAAGAAATAATTACATGGAGAATAATTAGAGTTTGATCAATCTGGGGGTGTATAGAGAGTGAATGTATCTCAGCTATTAACAACAACTTGGAGTCCTATTTCCTACAGTCTATAATCATCAGCTATTAATGTCTCAAGGACTTAAGTCAGGCATTTTACACCTCTGTTAAAGGATGAAGCACTGTAAAACTCTTAAAGATGGTAAAGTGGTAAATAATTCCCCAAAATTATTAGCCTACAGCATTCATCACTCAACACTGAATGCTGACCTTTACTGCTTTACTGCGATCAAGCATCTGTGCCATTTGGCGCGCTGTTGTATTACGTTCGGTCATTCGTGCACGATCTCTCGCTAGCTGAGCAATCACCGTCATATTACGGTTTCGATCCCGAAATGAAACTCGTATTTTGAACTGTCAATTTGATATCTTGATTTGTTTTTAGTCTAAACAGAACGAATTCTATAGGAGTAAGGGGATAGAAACTTCCGTTTGTATACATCGTACTTTCTATAAACTTCATCATCCCTTCATCTCCTAATACAGACGGGTGTAGCAACAGAAAGGAAGTCGCTGACTACTTAATTTCTACTCCACAAATTAATGCATTTGCAATAGAAATGATGCGCTACTGATGTTTCAAGCGCAGAAAATCCGAAAACGAGTGAGAATGAAGGAAGTGCCTAGCAGTAAAAACCTGCATAAGTCAAATCAAAAAGCTGTTTTATCACTCTTACTTGATTGCAAACAATCAATTGTGCTTGGGAGACTCTACCACAGTAAAATAATATTGCATCACTGTGTGCTATATAAAATGATAGGTCACCAATGAGTAAGCAATCCTATGCGTCTAGTGTTCATGGTGTTGCTACACACAGAATTCTGTCAGTCCAGTTTGAAATGTGGTCATCATACACTAAGTGGTTTCCTCCATTGTGATGCAATCTGAACTGCTAGGAGAGTCGACGACAATCGGCAGTAAGCCCGAAAAGTTCAGTGGTAACGTCTCTGACTGATTGAAAACATCGACAATGGCCTACAGGCATGAAGGCTCGGCTTCCTGCAAATTATCTCCAACCAGTGAACATCAATGCAGTATACTATTATTATGTCTGTCAGAGTTCTACTCTGCTACAATGTTGTATTCTTACAACAACAACAACAACAAAAAGAAAACATGAAGAAGGCTGGTATACACACAGTAAATGTCATCTAGTGGAGCACTTTCCCAAAGATAAAAACAAAAGAATTGGCAGCTCCCTATGAAAAAGGAAAACAACAACAACAACAACATATGAACATGCGATAACATCGTGGGAAACTGTCTACTGTCTATGTGAAATATGCCTACTTAGAAAATAATCAAGCAATAGAAAACACAAGTGGAAGTTCATCCCACCAAAACCGGTGGAAACTTTCCTGTGAATAAATATCAACGAAAATATTTGTTATTCTACGTGCAAAAAAAGACAAAACAAAACAAAAAACAAACAAACAAACGAACAAAATAAAACCGTAGCCTACCGATGCAAAACTTTATTTCTTATAAGGTAAGTGAATATACAAACAATTAGTGCAAATAACAAGAATCAAAAAGAAATTATGTAAGTAAGCAAATATGCACCGAAAAGTCAAGAGCTGTACAATAATACTTTCATTGGACACTAAGTACTAACTAATGTCATGCATCCTTTAGTCCTTGGTATTGGTGCAGACTGAATTCTATCAGCCAAGTGAACACAGTGTGATCATCATACTGGGTGGAACATCGTCATGGTGCACTCTGAATTGGATTTAGATGCTCCAATGCAATCGGCAGGAAGCCTTGGGTCTACGTCGCGTGCTTGTCAGTACTCGTCAGCTAGGCGTATCTGCAATCTTGAAGGGACTCATATCCGTTCTGAGATCCAAACCAGGGCTAATAAGCATGAAACCTAGATGAAGTCCTTCTAATTGCCTTCAACCATCTTGCATCAATTCAGCATATTATTTCAGTTACGGAGTCTGCATAGCATTAGTTAGTATCTACTGTTTAGTGAACGTGTCTATTACAGTCCTAAAGGAGGTCAATTACCAACCCAAATAGGTTAGTAGTAACGTCTCTGATTGCAACATTGGATGACGCGGATTTGAATCTCATAATGGGGGGCGTGAGTTCCTTCGAGATGGCAGACACGCTTTTCGTGTCAAGGCTAAAACTTCCTGCATATTGTTTTTAAATATCTAACTACTATACGATGAGCATATCCCTATTCTTTTGGGTGTTGTTGTGTTTTTTAATCTGTGCGTCGGTGGCACAGTAGTTAGGACTCTCGCCTACCATACACATGGTCCGGGGTTCGACCCCCCTGCCAACGCACCCCTGACATCAATGGTCGACCTGCAAAATTTGGGCTACCGATATCACATGCTGAAAATTCCATAATTGTGGAATCAAGCTGTAGTCAAAAAAAGTCGAAAAAAGTGCACCTTTAATTGTCATTGTAAGCAAAATCTTGAAAGCCAACTTCATGATCATGACTTTATGTTAAATGGAAGAGAGCAAATTACACTACTAACACTCTTCCTTTGAGACTAGCTCAGACCATAACTACTGCTACTGTTTACCGGTGAATTTCACGCCAATTTCATTCTATACAGATGTGGATGCACTTTCCTGTTAAAATCTGCATTAATCACAGCCAGTCAGATATCTTTTTTGAAAAATACGGAATACCAACCAGTAAAATGAAGTGCTAACCTCTCACATAGCAAGCATAAATTAAATGTATCTTACACCTCAACAACCTATGTTAGTTACACACCACACTCTGAACGACATTTAAAGCACATTCTGTCTACTCGCATTGTCCCAAGCAGATGAAACATATTGTGAACGCAAACTGTAGTTGTACCGAAAAAGAAAAAAACAACAAGCGACCACTTTCTCCCCGATAACATTACACTAGTATGGTATAACACTAAGGAGGTGGGTGCACCAGCACATTAAATGAAGTGATTATCGCTAACTTATCAAAGAATATGATGATCACATGTACATCAGCTAAGTAGTCAATAGGCAACTACAGCACGATAAACGTGAATAAAGACAGCAAAGTAGACGAAAAGACAGTAAGAAAACTACATCATTTAAAGCAACAAAAAATCTGTAAGACGTTTGTGAACCACACAACAAATAATGAGTTAAAATGAAAACTTCTACGAAATATTGAGCGGAAGAAGTCGATTTCTGCTAACTAGACACCTCTAGAACTATAAATCGATTTTTGGTGATAGGAAAAGCTTCCGAACGTTCACGGTAAAGAGGTTTCTGAAGTTTATCATAACAAACAAAACAGAATATACTGTTACGGTATACAGGTTGCTTTCGCTGTCTGTCTAAACACGACAAATTCGTTTGAAAAACAAGGTTCCTCTGAAGGCCTGCTCTTTCTTTCCTGGTGGAAAATGTTTTACAACCAAATACCAGCTACTCTACGTATACCGATTATCAGCCAACTGTTATAACTACCTAATGGTGTTGTCCGTGTTACTAAGTTACCCTAGTAGAGGGAAATTTATTTATCGAAAAAAAACAAGTCGACAGATTCAAATGATCACAAACAGGATAAAAAACAAACAAACACGAAATTACTTTGGAGGTCTCTTGGTCACAAGGGCAGATACAACAAGTCTGGCATTTAAATTCGCTTCATTTCGATAGCATGGATGACACAAACACGGTGTCTCTCGAGGATACTGTAACAATAGCTCATTTAGCGATTGTCCTATAAGAAAGGGAAAAAAAGGATACGAAAGAATAACCAACGTGACAAAAAAATGATAACGCTTAGAAGTATTTCGCAGTTAGTCTTACATAACTTGCTTGTTTCAATATCACAGGATGAAATCCCGGATATCATGAAGACTTATATCGCCCCATTGTTTACTAGTAAGTGCACTAAAATCACGAAAGTTCATTTTGAATCATGCATTCTATCCAATATAACTGTTTATTCACACTGTCGAATTCCCCGTGCAACTGACAGAATTAACAATCTTACCTTCATTTTGAGATATTTTATTATTAACCTTAGGAAAAAGGGAAATCTGCTACATCAATAACTTCTAGTAACTAGATACGTTTTTACCTGTTCATTTGTCTTAAGAGAGAACTCAGAATTTTCTCTAACAACCAAAATTTTATTTAGTAGTCATTCAACATCACATCATATGAATTGATGACACGCTTTGATTACGTAATCTCAGTGGAAAGAAAGCAAAAGAAACAATCATTAGAAAGTGTGAACAATGAACTGGTGTCATCGTAAGAGTCTGAAGTTCCTGAATAGCAGGTACTGATGATGAACTTTTAAGTGGACGAAACGATCACTTAAAAGACCAATCACTTTGTGTAACCAGGATAAAATTATCAAAAATGAAAAGCTGTCAGGCTTCTAAAGAAGTCCTCATTATAATTATTATTTTTTTGAAAAAACAAAACAAAAACAGAACGATTAAATGAAGATTAAGTAAAACAGTGTTCACAGTTATTTGAAGGTGAATGTGACTGACTTCCACCCCGTTAGTTAAATCTGTCAATGGATGGGAGACAACTACTCTACGGATAGTTTGTCGTGAGAAGTTATTAGACAGAAATTTTTCTTGCAATTTTTCTCCTGCTGACTGTCTTCACACACACACACATCCCACTAGTTCCAGTGGAATCGATACTCAACAATAGGCATTTCTGAATACAAAAAGAAGTCAACTTTCCTTCACATTTACATTCAGATAACGTTTCGGGAGTTGTAGTAGTGGTAGTAGTAGTAGTAGTAGTAGTAGTAGTAGTGGTGTTTGTCCTTCAATATATCACAGTTGTAACTTATACTAATGCAAAAATATTAGTGTATTTAGTTTTTAGGGTTATATTATTGTACTAACTCTATGTGGTCACATGAATATTCAATAGGTGGCTCTAGGTTTGCGGTTGTGATTTTAGAAGCCTATCCTAAAACAATGAGCTACAGTTCATTATCCAATAATAACAAAATTTTATTTATGCTGACCTAATATATATATAGGCTTGCATGACATAGCTGCTTGCGTGCAGGAGACAAAATGCAAATGCACACAGTTTTTAAAAGAGAAAATATAACATTGAACAGTGTAAGTGGGAGAGAGAGTGAGTGATTGAAGAAAATCTACTTAGCATACTAAATCACGTTCTTAACCAGAAGAACAGAGCAGTATGTTAGTGTTTTTTTTGTTTTTTTTGATGGCACTATATAAACATCCGAGAAGAAAGCTTTATTTAGTTCATTAAAATTTACATATTATAAAACCAACAACATGCATATACATACAATAATAATAATAATAATAATAATAATAATAATAATAATAGGATCTATATTAGTGAAGACAAAAACAACACATCAAGCCGTTGACTTTTCAAGTGTATTTCATCACTATGCAGCTATCTGAACACACTAGTGCATATAATTTTGTAAAATCTAAACAATAGGTAGAATGGAGAAAGAGAGAGAGAGAGAATATCACCCACTCATGAAAACATTCAACTGCTCTTTTGCTGAAGGCATCCTACTTTTTTTCACCTCTTTCATTTACTTATCATTGATGTATTAGAATAGTAAACGAATGTATTTTTATGCATCACTTCTACTACAAAACAACAACAACTACTGCTGCTGCTGCTGCTGTAGAGTATACACATCTTGCCATTTCACCCGCTTAAAAGTACACTTTACAGGATGAAAAGTTGTACCACCACCTTTCTGACCTTTATTAATAACTATTATCAATAACTGTCAGCAATGTCCTATTTATACAATTCTCGGGTAGTCGGATTCTAATCCCGTGATTGCATTGTCAACCAACAGCTGGCCTGGTAATCTAAGCATCTTAAACTCGATACATGATGGCGGTTGTAAATGTAAACTGATGAAGGGACGCAAACTAGGAGGAAGAAGCTGTTAAGTACCTAATGATCTGAATAATAATTTTCCAACTGATATCGGTTCCTGATAAAATCCATGTTCTAAGATTCTTATGATGTGACAGAGTATGAATACGAATGCTGAATAACAATAATGAACACTTGATGGATAATGCCTTCACCAGAAACCAGTCAATTCTAGAAGACCTATATACAGTAGGCTAGGAAACGTCCATTTCCAAAACAAGTGACAGACAAAGTGAACCAGAGTACAAAAGTATATGAAATGTATTGACCCAGTCACAAGACGTGAATAGTAAGCGTTGATAGCACACTGCATTCTGATTGCTAGACGTCCATCATATGACATGTTATCTGACTAACAAACTGAGATACGTTGTCAACACACCACAAAGATGGACTAACGAGATGGATTGTGCGCACACATCAAAGATTTAGTAGAATTGTTACTGATTCATTCATTCATTTACAACACAAACCTGGTACAATATAGCCACCAAGAAGATGCGCCACAACTGCTACTAACCACTTCGCAATTAGTACCGGATGGATCAACAGTTCCTAACTAACCAACCAGGACGAACAACCACGAGCACACTGAGGCCGTGGCTATCATAATGTCACCAACCAACATCATCCAAGCAACTCATACAGTCAGAACCAATCCCCTCCACGATTTTCACACCAAGATTCAACCCAAAAGGAGGCAAGGTTACAACTATACAATGATATGCACCTAGAAACAACGCACACCAGAACAAGAAGAAGAGGAACAAGAAGGAGGAGGAGGACTTCTACAGACAGCAGAAAACAGTAATCCACAAAAGCCCACCGTAGATAGCAACATCAAAATTCGAATGGGTGATATGAATACCATTGAAACTGGGATCAGACAACACAGGAAAAGGATTCTTCATGGAGCAAGAAGGAGGCTGTCGGTGAAGTTAATGACAACGAGAAACTATTCGCACACTTATGAGTCTCTAGTGATTTGATGTTTGCAGGCGCTGTGCATAAGTACGAGAATATACAAAAGGATGAATGGGTGTTACCAGACGAAGATACTACCCACTTGAAGCGAAATATCAGGCTGCATCGTCCTGGAGAGACTGGAAGATGCTCCCTCCTGAACAAGCCAGATTCAGGAAAAACAAATCATGTTTGGATAGGTTCTTGACTGCTTCGCTTCCAAAGTTCCTCATTGCTTATCCTTTCTGGGCAACTGATCTTCAATGTGAAGGAAACGCACGTATTGATGAAATTTCGGCTTGCCAAAAAAGCTTTTTGTAACGCTCGCACCAAATTTTTGAACCATATGGAAACTTACTTAAGTTTTGATAATCCTTATTTTGTTTCTTATACTGAGTGCTCTAGATTTCCACACTGAAACTGGGATAACGAAGGCCTATCTTGCCTTTCTGATGCTAGCACTGATATCCTCCCTGTGCTATCTGCCTGTAGTTGAAACGATGTCGTTTTAATAAGTGGAAAAGATAACTTCTTTCAAACTTCTCTCGTTAATAGTGATTGGTATTTGTCACGTCAACTCCTAGCTTAGTGATAGGGAGTGAAGTGATACAACATGTTGACCACTTCACCTATTTAGGAAGTTGTATCAGCACCAACGGATTGATTGGTGACGAAATCACAGCACGGATCCAGAAAGCTCGGGCTGCTTTCGCTAACTTACACCGTCTCTGGCGTAGGCGTGACATCCGGCTGTCAACCAAGGGACGTGTATACTGCTCAGCAGTTCGCTCCGTCCTTCTCTATGGCGGTGAGACGTGGCCATTGAGAGCGGAAGACATGAAGAAATTGTCTGTCTTTGACCACAGATGTTTACGATCTCTTTCTCGCATTAGGTGGTATAATAAGGTAAGTAATGTTGACGTTAGGCGTAGAGTGTTGGGCAAAGAGGGAAAATCACTCGAAGAGGCTATGAAGTTACATAGATTGAGATGGTTAGGTCACGTGCTGCGCATGCCTAACCATCGCCTCCCCCGACGGACGGGCATTACTAGCTGATATAGGTGCAGGTTGGAAAAGAGTAAGTGGTGGCCAAACAAAAACATGGCATCAATCCATGAAATCCGTAAGAGTTAAACTGAGTCAGTTAGGGAGATGCAGACTTCCGGGTCGGGGCCCTCGGGACTCTAAGAATCAATGGCTGGAGACAATAGGTGACATGGCTCAAAATCGTTGTCAATGGCTTACGCAGATGTATTCAGTCTCTGTAATCTTTCATATTCCTTTCTACCATTACTCATTCTGTTTCACTCTTATACTTGTCAAAACTCTATTGGTTCTCTTCACTAATTTTCTTGTCTACCTTTGTGTGCTATTTGGAACGTAGCAACTCGAACTGCTGCACTTCGGTGCCAAGTTCTATGGTGAATCCAGCAGCAGCAGGTATTTGTTGTTGTAAGGGTGTCTTCATCACGTTTGTCTTCCCTATGTTCACCTGAAGTCCCGTTTTCTGTACTTCTTCTGTCAATTTGTTGGTTTTCGCATGTATATCTTCGAGTGTGTGCGAAATCCATGGTCTTTTTGTTAGTTCGAAGTATGTCTTTCTTCCCACCACTTCGCAATGCCTATCGGAGGATTCAGTCCACAATTAGGTAAATCGTCAGTAACAACAGGCAGTCTTGTCTTGCTCCCGTCTTAACTTCAAATGCTTCGCTGAGTTTTCCCTTTTGAATCACTTGTCATGTGGCATCATATAGCTGTTAAATGAGGTATTTATATATATAATGTTGCGGGTATAGCATGTTATGTAGTGTAGAATCATCTCTAAAATGACATTGGGAATCTATCAGCAAAACCGCTTTCAGTGAATCCAAGTTAGACCAATGTTAGGATATATTACAAAATTACTGAAAATAAATACTACCCATTTCAAAAAATAATAACAACCATACTAGCAAAACACTTACTAGCTTGATCAGAGAGAATTAGTTCAGGATCACAAATATATCCCTTCTTATCAATTCCACATTTTCTAAATTCTGAAGAATACGGGCTGGGAGGATATTCATGTCCGATATCTGAACCATTCGAATTGTCAATCAATAGAATTAGACTAAAGTGCCATGCGAGTAGACTTTTACGTAACATTTCATTCACAGCAAAACAGAAATCTACAATTTCAAGAATAAGAGAAACATACATTTTATGATAAGGGTTAATTTCTTTTACACTTTGGTGACTGTAGGCTAACCGCAAAAAATGCCTTTACAACTACAATCTGCTGTTTCATTGCATTAGTAAACTGTAGATACTGGTCGGACGAGATGCTAGCGCATACAACATATTCATTCCTACATGCTGTTTTGTGATAAGTGTTCAGGAAAAATATCTCAGCTAAAGGAAACAGAAAGAAAAGGAATTTTTGATAGTGATCAAATCGAATTAAGTGACAAGCAACAACATAACGAACATTTGTCCACTCAGATAAACTTGCATTATATGATGGTTTGTAAGTGAAAACTAAAGGCACAACTCAAACATACAGAAACAAAGATCACTGTTTTCATGATGTTATACATGACTATACCAAAAGAGGAATAAGAAGGATAACAGAATATCAGTTACATACACAAAACTGATAAGCAGAACAGAAAATGCAGCAATGTAAGCAAAAGAATAAATAATAAAGATAATAAAAGGTGAATAGTAGTTACGCCTGAGTATTTGACTTTCAACCATCAGGCTAAACGCACTCCAGAGGTCTCCTTACACTAGTTTAAATATCCAATTAGCTCACAACCTAGGGGATTAGTGTTGTAGCTGTTTCACACTTCATACAAAATTAAATGCATGCCCAAACCAGACTAGTTAACCTTATCATTCTCAATGAATACCAAAAACACGCCATTTAATAATTTGGTGAAGAATAATATCCGTAATACAAGTTGTATTTAGTGATGATAATAATAATAACTTGAAGTGAAAAACACCACCAATCAAAAAATGCTTATCAGGAACTTTGGTAGCAAATAACATCAGATATCTAGATAGTACCCAATATATGACTATTCCAGATGTTTCACTTTCAGGACTGCCTGAAAACACAAACGTTTACAAAAAAATAATTTGCACTTCAATGCAGAACATACAAGGAAGGAATCCCTGAATACAGCACTGAGGCACAAGTTAGAAGTACAGAAAACACAGATTTCCCTAAAGTTGTTGATATGAACTTTGAATGCCAGAAAGCAAAAGACGTAGGTCCATGGGTTCTTCGCATTGACTCCTACCATATTTACAACATACCACGCACCTGTTTCCTGTCATAAGGACAGCCTAAAGTACCTTATCGGGCAGTTTTGAAGAATTTAATTTGACATAATTTGAAAGTAAAGAAAAAACAGAGAGAAAAGTAAGAATAAAGAATTGTATCTAAACCCAGACTGGATTAACAATTTATTTAGAAATTCACAATTGCAGAAGATGAATGTATGTAAGCCACTAAGACATACTGTGCAGGTAGCTAACACCGCTGACAAGAGTTTCTTTTCACCCTATTCGAACTAACAGGATTTAATTGAAAACATGCGTCACTTTACAATTAGTGGGGACTCCATGTAGTTGACAATGAGCCACAATTATTGTGTAAGGGATAATGATACTACCTGGCAGCACAAACTTCAGTAGGTGAAGAGGGGTTATAACCCGTGACCTAGTGGTTAAAAGTCGAGTACCTAGATCAATGAGTTATAGTTTCTCGATTAAAAGTGGAAAATAGTCATAGCATTTATTTATTGCTCGTGAAGATTGAAATGTCCTTTACGTACCTAAACAGAAAACAACTAAAAACTTATCAGAAAGAAACAGAAATTCGCATATTGGTATTATAGTTAACTTGATGTAAGAACAGGGGCAAGGAACTACAGGCCCACAACTACAGGTTTGCAACAATAAGAAGATTTCTGCATTTCTACTGTTACCGCAGTTATTGTGACTGAGCAGTAAAAGCAATTAATTGCAACATACACTGACTAAGGATCTCACAACAACACAAAAAATGATGGATGATAACAGAAAAAGAATAAGTACAACAACACTGAAACTCAAAAATTAATTGGATCTAATAAAGACAGACTCATCAAACAGTGGTGGTTAGTGAAACAACTGTGGAAGCATATGACTGTCAGTTGCCGTTATCAGATAAGTCGCAGGAAGACATGATATTTATTTATTTAAACGCAGAAAAACTTGGTACAATATGGCACCAAGAAAGATGCGCCACACAATAATAATAAAACAACATAGATTAAAAGTAAAAATATAACTAGAAAACGGATAAAGAACTTCATCTGGAAGGAAAACAGTCATGTTTAACAAGTTCAAACAGTATTCGTTAACTATCATCAGGAAGGGAAGAAAGAAGGAAATTGCAACACGTCCGCCATTGATTACGATTCTTGGCCATATCCGATAACGTTTCGAGCCATCGATACGAGCTGCCTCGCGGACCCCAACCAGGGAGTCGTGACGCACCAACCGATGCTAAACTAGCACAAATATCCTTCATCCCACGACGCCACGTCATGGACTGACCACCCCTCCGCCTTTTCCATCCCGTCCCAGGGCTAGCGAACACAGACCTGTACGGAAGCCTCTGGGATGACATTCGCAGCACATGTCCAAGCCACCGGAGCCGGTGTTTCCAGATGACGACACTCAATGAATGGTGATCTCCACTGTGTTCAAACACACGCCGCCGAACCTCAGAATTACTCACGCGATGATGCCATCGAACGCAAGCAATCCTGCGGAGACAGCGATGATCGAACACACAGAGTCGCTGCACATCCTCAGCTCGGAGAGGCCAGGTTTCACAGACGTAGAGCAAGACAGCCCCCACCGAAGCATTGTTTACCCGACCTTTGACAGCCAGGCTAACGTCGCGACGGCGCCAGAGGTGGCTCAAGTTGATGTATGCCACCCTAGCCTTCATTATATAGTTGGAAATCTCATCCGTCACCCCTCTGCCAGCACTCACACAACTACCCAGATACACAAACTTACCAACAACTTCAAGCGATTCACCCGCAAGAGTGAGTGCAGGTACAGGCTCCTGCCAATCTTGTAACAGTACTTTGCACTTAGACGGTGCAAAGCACATACCATACTTACAGACCCTGATCGCCAACTGATTAAGTGCGATTTGGGCAGCCTGCATGCTATCGCACAGTAAGACGATATTGTCTGCATACTCGAGGTCGAAAAGTCTATCTCCAGGTAGCAGATCTACACCACCTTCACGCACATCCTTCAGAGCTGACTCCAGAATGTCATCGATGGCAAAGTTAAAGAGAAATGGAGAGATTGGGCAACCCTGTCTAACCCCACTGTTGGTTGGGAACAGTGATGATAGTTGGTTGTATGCCCTCACTCTACCTGAGGTGTTTCTGTATAGGGCTTTCAAGATGTTAACAAATTTCTCAGGTACACCTCTCTCTAACAGACAGTTCCAGAGCACAGTTCTGTCCAACGAATCAGAGGCAGCGCTAATATCAAGAAACACAACGACCGTTGGCCTGCAATAAGTGTCGGTGTTCCAACAACTGACGAAGGGTGAACACATGATCAATGCATCCACGACCTGAACGAAACCCAGCCTGCTCTTCGCGAATCAATCCTTCACGTATTTTGCACAGCCTGCAAAGCAAGACAGCAGCCAATAATTTAGACGCGACTGGTAGCAGACTGATACCCCTATGATTGTCACACGAATTACGTCGACCCTTTTTAAAGATCGGGACGATAATGGCTTCGTTCCACATTGATGGTACACTCTCAGTTTCCCATACCTTCCTGAACAGCGCAGTTAGAGCTATTGTGAGAGTCTCGCCACCATCTTTAAAAAGAGCCGGGGGTAAATTGTCTGGGCCGTGCACCTTATGGCGTTTTAACACTTGGAGTTCCTTACGGACCTCCGCTTCGGTGGGTGGGTCGGTATTAACCGACCAAGGAGCGCTGGGGCTAATGACAACAGACATTGAAGCTGGTGGCCAGCTAAACTGTTTCCCGAAGTGCTCTGCCCAGCGTTCCAGGCGTCTTTTCAAGCTGGTAATTGGCATGCCATCTGCCTCACAGACCGTCTCGCTGATACCTTGTTTCTTGCTGCCGGTGGCTCGGATGAGTTGGAACAGCTTCCGACTGTTGCCAGATGCAGCAGCTGGCTCCATCTCATACGCACGTTCTGACCACCAGGCTTCGCGGTCCTTACGTAAACACTGCCTTATCTTATGCGTCAGCGCCTTTCGCTTATTGCTGTATTCGCTGCCAGCCGGAATGGACCGGCGTTCATCCAGGAGTTGCAAGGAACTCGCAGAAACCCAGTGGTTTTTGACGGAGCATTCTTTCAAGCCGCAAGCGGCTACACTCGCTCTTTGCATGGCACCTTGCAGATGAAGCCAATGTTCATTTATACTACTTGGGGGGTTGCTGGCAAGCATTGACTGTAACTCATTCTGATATTTCAAAGAAGTAGCAGGTGCTACTAGTTTGCTCACATCAACGTTTAGACGACGCCTTTTATGAACCCCACCAAATCGCAAGACGAACTTGGAACACGCTAACGCATGATCGGAGTCCAGGCATGTGCTCCAGAAGGAGCGACAGTCTTGTATGCATCCTCGCCACCGGAAACTGACAGCAATGTGATCGATCTGAGTCCAAGCTTGGTTCGCAGAGGGAAGACGCCAGGTAGCGCTATGGCGATGATTGTGCCGGAAGTTGGTGCTGGCCAGAAATAGGTTGTGATCTGCGCAAAGCTGCAGAAGACGGTCCCCACTATCTGACCTGCGACCATGTAGTTCCCATTGACCACCTAGACGATTCTCCTCTGAGCTCAGACGCCCGACCTGTGCATTCAAGTCTCCAGCCAGCACTACGATATCCCTCCGATCCGCCTGTCTCAAGAGATCGTTAAGTTGGTGGTAGAACTCGTCCTTCATTGCATCCGGGCTGCAATCCGTTGGTGCATAGGCAGAGACAACAAGTAGACACCGCCTATCTGACCTACTACTTCTTACTTTCGTATAACCTTCCAGCCTCACAGCACATAAACGACTGTTAATGGGAATCCAGTCGAGCAGTGCAGCTTCGGCTCTAGCGCTCAGTGTGACGC